TTAGTGAATATGAAGACTTGTTTACGGAATTCCATTTTTAGTTCCATATCGGGGTTTCTGCTGTTGGAGTTCGGATTTACTTTACCAGTTATTAGGAAAGTTTTATGCACAAAGTCTGCTGCTAATACGTATTCGCAATTTGCACTAAAAGGCAACGGTCGGCCATCAAATGAAATATATCCGCTAGGTCCAAGTAGATAGGCGACACCTAGAACGCTATTAAGTACTAGTAGCAATAACCAAAACTTATTGATAAAATAAGTTCCATCACTAAATATACATTGCTTTAAGCTGATGGTATCTTATCGCTTCAACTAAAGAGAAGTCTTAGCAGCTAACAGAGTTGTCACCGGCAGAAACATCTTGATTTTGAGAATGTGGAGTTAAAACAAGTTTCTATGAGGGTTCGGGGCTTCTGAAAAAGAGATGAAAAGTTGAGAGAGAGACAGGCGAGGAAGAAGAGGTGAAGGAGAATGAATACTAAGGTAAATGTTTCAAAATTTGTGTAAGAAGTTTACTTTTTTTAGTTACATAATTTATCTATTATTCAACAGTATAAGGAAATAACAAAAAGTTTTATTTCCTCGCAGATGAAAAGGTTGGATTTAACGCAAGATAACTTAGGACTCAGCGGTCGTATACAGTTTTTAAGCAGCTTATCACGGCAATTTAAACATTGAATATCATAACGGCACCAGAAAGTACCATTTAAATTTTTAATTCTGACCTTTCGAATCCAAATATTTTTTGAACCTAATTCTTAAACAAGTGACTAAGCTGTGTGATATAGAGTCATGGTTTTCCAAATAAACTGGGAAACGAAAGAGTCAAGGAAAGGCCTATTCCGGCGCAGAATAAGTATGCAAAGCAATTTTCCTGCATCAGGACATGTTTGCATCATCCGAAAAATGTGAAAACATTAGTCTTGCGACGCTTAAAGTTGAGAAACGAAGCAGAATCTGAGGAATAAAGAAAAGTGCTCAAGTGGGGTTTAAAACAGTTATTTTTGAGGCAGTTTCTATATACGAAAATTCTAGAGTGTCAATTATTTGTAAATCGCTTCGTCTACACTATTTTTTCCGCTTCCTTCCTCTGCTCTTACACAGAAAGGAGAAAATGAATGTTATCTTCACATAATTGTTCTTTCTTGTAGGAAAATGTACAGGAAAAGAACCTGTCTTTCTGTGAGCGAAGCAAGACTGGAGAGAAGTCAACTCCAATATTTAAATTACTTTAGAATACTGTAATATTATTAAAATTTTTTAAATCTTATTACTTTTAAATGGAGGCTTCCTATTGAAAAACTCTCCCGGCAGTGATTGGAAGTAATAGATAGTGTCTTTCAGTGCTTTTATACGATCCTGAAATTGCTGATTTTGTTTTTTCAAAGACTGTATAGGTGAAAGCAAAAAAACTTTGGCTGCAACTAATTTTAAAGCTTGTAGGAAGACAAACCTTATCAGCTTCTGATAGCTCTGCTTCTATTCGTCTAAAGATGTGTGTGATGTCAGCAATATCAGACATGTCAGTTAAGTCGTTTAAGGTTTTAACTGACTGAGGTACTTTAACTAGTATTTCTGTTTCGCCATCCTTCTTGGTCTTTAAAAGTGAGAGTTAAACAGATTATTTTAAAACTCACCCTCTAATTTATTAAATTAGGTAATTCAAAAGAAACGACAAGAAGTAGGTATATCAAGAAAGATTTTAGCTTTAGTTACTACCCTCTACATTTTTTGAGAACTGGTCGTAATTTTTGAGGAAGCACGATCTGTTATCAGAAAAAAGCAGTAAAAACTTTAAAAAGCACGCACTGTAATTGTCGGAATGTATTTCTTCCACAATTTTTCAGCCAAATTGGCTGATGTTAAGTTGTGACGGCTGAAATCGACTAACGCCCTCCAGTACTTCTTTATCTGCGTTTCAGTAACATCGTTTGGTGTAATTGTATCCAACAATGCCTTTACAACTTGGGCTACCCTTTTCGCGCATAACTCGTCTACAATCAAATCTCGAACCTAAAAATACTTCAATTTATTGTAAAAGTAATAACACACAATAAAACTCATTTTTATTCGGTTTCAAAAGTTATTGATGTAATCATACTCTTACTACCTGTATTTCAAAAATCCTCAGTGATTTAATAAAATTATGAAATAAAGATAAGGTAATTAAACCAACTTTTTGGTAAAAGTTCACTAATTTTGATCGGTACTCTCTTTCGTTTACCGAATTTAGTGCACCAGTAACAGTATCTGGTAATGAATATTCTCTGGCTAATTTTCTTAGACGAATTAATATGGTTTTTAAGATATCTGCGTCCATTGCTCTCTTTTTAAAGTCATCCAGAGCCGCTGAAATAAAACTTGTGGCCAAGATTTTTTTCCAAACAAAAATTAAAAGTATTTCATTTTGTTAATGCATTCTGTTGAAAGGAATCTTTTTATACAGAAAAATGACGCATAAATTCGGCACTAGATAATTTCCGTTTTCATATGTGAGTGATTCTAATCACCTTATTTTATGTTTCGATTCAAAACGCTCAAAGTGCAATTACCCTCAGAAGTTTTTTCACAAAAGAAACCTGCAGTTTATCGCTGAAGCTAAACAGTTACCTCTGACAGACTGACCGTGAAGTTCCTGATCTAAATAATCTATAAGAGCAGCAAGCTTCTTCTGCAGTCGTTCAGTCTAAAATGAGCAGCATGTAAAATCTATAAAAACGAGTAACAAAGTTGAGTCAGAAGCACAAAATATAATGGTTTTTCAATTTGTGAACAAACAAATGTTAGTCAAACATTGAAATTTCTCTTGCACCTTAGTAGAAAGGTATCGACCAAACTCTGCAACAGGCGTCATGACTTCTTTTATGTAAGCATGAGAGCGTCCAGAAGGTTTTAACTGGCGCATCCACTGAATAACTTGTGATTTCGGTATTGATGATATAAAGTCTTCCACTTCCTAAATTGGTACACACAGTTTAATCACTGCTGCACAGTGAATTTTAAGGTCGGTTGCTTTAAAAGCTATTTTTTCAACAGTTTTTTAACTCTTGACTAACCTTTTCTTGACGATCCATATCCCCAAATAATTTAGTTTTGAGTGAGCTGTACAACTCTTTCACCTCAGGTTCTGACTTTGGAAAATCTACACCTGCCCGTTTAGCCAAAACACTAAAAGATCAACAAAGTTCCAAATGCGTTAGATATTTCTAACGAATAGTGACTACAGTTGTGTGTTTAATTCAGCACGAATATGAGTTAATAAAACAGCACTTTTAAAAATATTTACTAAAACCTTATCCCTAGAGGTTGACAACTTGTTTTGGAAGTGTTCATCACTATATGAGGAATATAAGACCAGCTTATCACTTTTAATAATATTTTCAAGCATTCAAAGTGCATTATGTAAAATCGCAAAATTAAACAATTATTTTCCTTACTATTCATCTTTGATCCATCCTGTGATTAATGGGTCGTACGTTTGAGCAAACATATCTGTTGTTATCTTCCTGCGCATTTCAAACATGCTTTCTATAAGGCGTTTCAACTGACTGTCCTTTTCCCATTTATCTACTGTTGTCGCAAGCGAATTTACAGATGACTAAAATAAGAAGCTAATCAAGCAATTGAATTCGAATTTCTCTGCAGATCTACGAAAAATTCTAAAAATTCTGAAGTAGAAAAACTGATATTTATCTGTGTTACACTTGAGAAATGACAAGTTAGCAGTGGCAAAATATTGCTCATATAATAATTTTTGAATAACTGTTCTAAAAATACTCACTACAGCATCATTCTCCAGTGCCGGCCTAGCGTAAATTATAATTTGCAGCGTACTTCTTGGAGTTAGCTGTAAGAAATGACAGTCAGATTAATGTTGAAAAAAATATAACCTAAGTTCCAGTTCCCTATTAAAATTATTGATTAACGCATATGCTGTAACTCAAAAAAACCTTATTTTGATTTGTCAGCAACCAATATAGTACACAATGCATACCAAAATAACAACTCAAAAAACATACTTTGAC